CTTAGCAGCTCCTTGGCTTGTAATTCTCATTTCCTGTATTTTTTCTTCCTTTTGCTTTCTTTTTTCACCTTTGTTTCTGCTCTTAATCATACATTGCAACCCTTCTTCATTCATTTCACCTCACGTTTTGCTTTTGAACTCCAACATACATTAATTTGCATGAATCTTCTTAGACAGATCTACATTGCACTGATCTATGAAGTCTACATTGCACTGATCTATGAAGTGTTCAGTTACAAGATACATTGCTTTTATGCAAAACAGTTGCAAATGAAAGTTCAGTGACAGATGAAGAATAAAGATGTGACTGTTAAAATTACAAAGTCAGTAAGAGATGAAGTCTTGTGTTTTTCTTGTTGTCTTTCTAAATTTTTGTCACATTTATCTGCGAATTCTGACATTTGATAGTAGGATCACCTCTCTTCTCCCAAAAAATAAATTGTTGAAGAATATGTTTTAAATGAAAATTCTCTTCACTTTCTAGTTACTTTTTTAGAATGAATTCCATATTTTAGTAATTGCAGAAAGATAACTGCAGAAATGTGTAAGAAATATTTCAAATGTAATCAGAAAACAAATGTTTGATGCAGATTTGTTGCAGGTCATATAAAATCTGATTTTAAATAGATGCAAATGCTATTATTAGTTAGTTTATATTTTTATTTAAAGTTTGAAAACCATATTTGCACCTTTGAAACATACGAGTGCCAACAAATTTCTTTGACTAATTGTGTTTTCAGGCTTAATTGTTTAATGTGTTGCCTGCAAACACCCACTTACTTCTATCAACTGTGCTTCTACATTTTGTTAAATTTATGTTCCTGTTTCATTGTCACTGGAAACTTAGATGGGAAGTTGGTCAGTGCAGGTCTTGCAGGTCTTTGGTGTTCTGACAGCAAGCACATAGTATTAATGCTTACTTTCTTGAGGCATATGATGTTAACTTGCTTTGTGTAAAATTGCTACACTCCCAGCTGATTTATGTGAGCAGAAAAATATTAAAACTAAGGCAGGTGAGATGCAGTTGTGGTTCAGGTCTCACTCTTGCCTATTCGTGCTTGTCTTGTCAGCTCTGGATAAAACAGGTCCAAAGCAGATGTGTGAATGACAGCTTTTTGGAGCACTTCCTCTTATTCCCAGATGAACGGCATATGTGTTAACGCGCATAAACTGGTACAGATGATGGAAAAGGCAATATGGCAATTTAAGTTTATTTTAAACTTCTTATAAACTTCTTATGTCATGATTTCTGGAAACTACACAGATACTATTGTAAACAGATTTCTGTGCAGCTGATTTCTGTCACTTGGAAGACTAATGCTCTAGTTCTGACAAAAATGAGAAAAGGTGGTTTCAGAGGTTTTGGTATTGTTGGCTGTGGTTTTGTTTGCTTTAATAAAATTGTTAGTTTTACTGACGTGTTCCAAGTAGATACGGATCACTTCATCTTACCTCAGTTATTTAGTTTCATTCCAGTTTATTCTAGGCCACTGACTTCTGTTACTCAGATTTGCTAGGCAGAATGTGAAATAAGGCACAATGCATACATTTTGGGTTCTCATGAAATGCTTTGAACTGTTTCACTACTGTGGTTGTCCTGAGGGAAAAAGTGTTGTATCATAGTTGTATCATCTTGTTCTTCTATTGAGATCAGGTGGAGCATGTTCAGGAATTCTTGGTATTCCTGTGTTTGGAGAAAGCTGAAAAGTCAGCAGATCAAAATGCTTTTCTGTGGTACTAGTTTCTGCCTCAGTGCTTGCTGAAGTATAATATTAGGAGATGAAAAACTTATTTTCTTATTTTAGATTTTTACCTAAATGAGAAAGTGGTTCATACATGTTTGGAAGTCCATTGTTACACTTCCTTTCACTTCACGAGTGACACAAACCTTGCTACGCTAGTTCATGGTTTTGCTCTGAGTGGTTTGGCTTGTATAACTCTCCTTTTCTGATGCACAACAGGGCAGACCCTTCCTCAGAATCCCCTTCATTTTGCAGGAGTAAGAGCAGTTTTGTTTCTAGCCTTTCTTCAGATGTGGTTCTATTATAAAATAGAGCTTTTGCAAGTCCTTGTAGGAAAAAAATAAAAAATAAACAATTCCAGAGATAATTTCTGACTAAAAGAGTCATGATATTGGTAGTTGGGCACAGGACATTATTACTTCCTTCTGGCAGGGGTGATTCCAAGTGGTTCCATTCATAGCTCTTAACCATTCATGTGGTAAGCAACAGCACTCCAGAAACACCTAATAAACAATAACTCTGTCTGGTCATGGAGATGTCTAACTTCCCTATGAGGAAATGTAAACCAGACTTCCAATCCCTAATTTGCCATTCTTCCTAAATCTCTTACTGTTGCCTTTCCTGCATTTAAGAGATCTATAAGAATCTGAAAACTATGTGAATCCTACAGAATGTAGAAATGGTGTCTGCTCCTCCTCTTAAATGTTGACTGATACTTTGAATAGCCAGAATTCTGACCTCTATGACAGGCATAATCAGCAGTCTATTCTGTGAAGGAATACCCTGACAACCCCATACCCTTCTACTTACTTTTCTTTGATGACACAACATGCACCATTTTCAGCATTTCAGGTTACCTTATAATTTTCCCATAGCCCTAAATTTCATTCACAGGAGATGCATGGCAGGTGAATTAGAGGAATCTAGCTCTGAGGAGTGAAGACTTCATAGTGCGCTGTATGTGGACTGCTGCTTCCTCTTGTTTTATCTGGAGCGTGTGCTCTGGAAGTGGAACTGGGGGTTGTATAAGAGAGCACCATGCAAAACTGCCCTTTAGGTCCACAATTTTAGTACAGGTGGTGGAAGGAAATGTAACAACTTTAAGATATTTTTACTAAGGAGATTTCTGCCAGGGTTGTTCTGTAGAAAAACGTGAATAATGTGGTTAACTCACAGGTCTGTTCTTCTGAAAACTGCATTCTTGAGACATAATTAGCTCATTGGATTATTTGTTTAGCATTGCGTAACTCAAGATTCTGGCCTCCCAGACACATCAAAATCAAAGTTTCATGCAATATTGGAAATTCAAAGAACTTTCTCAGCTGACACGGATAAGTAGGGCTTCAAAACAGTTTCATAAAGAGTATTTTTCTCCAGGGATTTGAATTTCTTTGTGGAAGAAGAATTGAAGGAAATTACTTCAGACAAATAGATTCTGTCATGGGGGAAAAATGAATTGTTTAGTGTTAGTTTATTCTTTCTCCAGCTCATAGATCTCCCTCCTTTTTCAGTCTGCTTTCTCCTAGCAAAGAAAACCATCATTTAAAATCACATCACTGACTGGGGAGATTATCAAGTTGGAATGAAATTCCTCTTGATTTTATGCTAATCAAGTAGCTATTGGTTATTTGAATGTGACATTTATCCTAAACTTCAAGTGGTTAAATCAGGTCATCACATGAAGAAAACTGAAGCTGGAAGGTCTTTGAAATAGAAATCTCTGAAATCTGAAATGTGTTTCTCTATGTAGAGCAAAGACGGAATCCCTGCAGAAGTCACCTCTGTCATCTTGGATCTTAAGTACTTCGCTGTTCTTCATATTTTATGTCATCCAAGCTATTAGCAGAATTTCATCAATGGCGGCATCAGAACTTCAGTAGAAATCTTATTATAATCTAAATGCATAATGATCATTCATGTCAGGCCTTCCAAATCCAATGACCAGTAATTCAGAGACTGCTTTCATTGTATTTAGTGATACCTCTTTTCTCCCTCCTCAAAGCTTTACCAGTATGAGAACTGTCTTTAAGACTTCAGTAAAGGCTTTACTTTATTCTAAGTTCATAGAGCAGATGATCTCAATCCTTGGGCTTTTTGCATCTGTCCCTATTAGTCCACACAGTAACATCTGAATCTTCTTAAGCTTAATCACACTGGTTGTGTGTGGCTGATAACTTAAACTATTTTTCATATTAATTATTCAGTGATTCTTAAGCTTAATCACACTGGTTGTGTGTGGCTGATAACTTAAACTATTTTTCATATTAATTATTCAGTGATTTTGGTAATTGTTTTCCTAACTCCTTGTTTGTCCCAAGGAATTGACTGCAATCTGTAAATCAGTAACAGTTCAGTCCAGCAACAAATGGTAATTTCTTCTGCACAACCAAATTCTACTTCAAGTTTAAGATATCAGATATTCATGTCATTCCACATCTGTTCTAGAAAGCTTTTTTAAAAACCCAGACAAACCTAGGATTTTTCTTCCATTATTTATTCCATCAGCTAAATAAAAAGTTTGGTGGTTCCTGTAAACAGTCTAAACAGTCAAAGGATCTGTTGATCCAGAAGATAAATCTTGTTTGATGGCCCACTGGGTTTTTATAACATTTAGCCTTCAGAAATTATCTTCTCTGAAGAGATAGACACAAATAGTTTCATATGTAGGATGACAGAATATTGAAATCTGTGATGATGGATAAAATACTATAAAGAAGTTAAAAGCTGGAAACTATTGGAATTTTCTGGTGGTTTTTGATGACCTGTTTTATCAGCTTATGGGTTGCATAAGAGGTTTTTATACTCTGAAGTCAGTGTCACTGTAGGCGTGCAGGCTGAACCATCTCAAGATGAGTAATACATTGTCCCACATTGTCCCAGTGACTATTGTGTCAAAAGATTATACTACCATAAACAAAAGCACAATTGGATTAAAATACTACAAGGGTCATAACTGAAAGATACTCAATAATACCATTTTGTTAATGTATTTACCCGTAAAATAACAACATACTACTGGTCATTAAGTTAAGAGATAGTTCAGTATTCGATACTGAAATCCATACAGTTGGTTTTTGCCTGTTTTTCCAAGTCCAGAGAAGTTTGTTTGAAATCTCCTCCTACTGCTTAATGCATCAGTTTCTTCATAATAAGTGCTTCAGTTCTGAGACCTCACTTACTCAGTGTTCAGTTCATATCCCTTTTCCATCTGTGTTCCCTGGATTTGCTTTTGCAAAATGAAAGAGTTTTGTCTTTCAGAGCGGGAAGGTCACAGGAAGCGATTCAGAAGGTGTCATTGACCTTACACTGGATGATGAGGATGATGTCTCTTCTCAAGGTAAGTGTAAAAGATTTTCCTAACAGCTGGGACAGTTGAGCTGCAAGTATTATTTCATGCCCTTGAATGATAGGAAGGAGTTTGTGTTCAGTTCAGTGTTTTTTATTCTCTGCTGTTTATGTAAAGCAGGGTGGTGGCTAGAGAATTCTGATAGGCCTTAAACAAAAGGAGTCCTGCTTAGTATAAAATACTGTCTTTAAGGTTTTTCCTTTTTCCTTTAATCTAAGAGATGTTGCTTTCTATGTTTAAATCTGTTAGAAATAAATAATCTGAAGTAATTTGAGAAGTTTAAATTATGACATTTTTGAAACCTCCTCTAGACAGATTTTGTCTTTGTTGACTGAATAATTAAAGACTTTTTACACTTGGCATTCAGGCATTAGATTGTTAGAGTTTCTAATCCTTTTTTTCCTCCTAAATAAACAACTTTGTGTAAATAACAAATGAAGATCTGATCTGTTCTCTGCTTTGTGTCTGTGTGCCAACATTAGAGTAAATACAGTTGTGCTTTTACATCCTTTGACAGTGTGATTGCACCTCATTGCTCTGACTGCAGTGTTGCAAGCCTATTTTTTTGCATGGAAATTAGCCCCTCTTCTTTTCCATGTTGTGGTTGAGATTTTTAGTTTTGCTCTACACCTGCGCCTCAGTAGTGATGATTTTCATTTAAGTTCATTTCCAGAAATCAAATTGTCCTTTCTCTCGAGTTCCATATTTTTAGTGAAGATGATATTTTGTTCATTTTGCATTGGAACAGTTCCTACATCTGACCTTAACTCTGTGCTTAGAGTGTACTTCGTCTTCATTTTTCCTTGCTGATTTTTTATTTACACCACTAAATAACCTTTTGCTAGGGGTACCTAAATCAGTTATCTTTCCTAGTTTCTAGCTGGTAGAATCCTGACCTAGTTTCCACAGCTGGAATCTCAGCAGGACTCTCGATTTGTTAGGGATAAATGATCATGCTTCCATGTGAGATAAAAACAGAACAATTCATGTTAGCCCGGACTGTCCTTGTTATCTAAATGACTCTTTTATAGCAGTAGTATGTCTGGATTCCTACTGGTCGGATCATGAGCACATCTTCTCTAGATCATGACTAAGAATGCACTCATTCAAATTATGCATCATTTAAATGATGCAGTGGCATTTATAGTGTGTAGAAATCTGTAAGTGACTATTCAAAGTGACTGTGTGTGTACATCTCTATAGTAATCTCTTGAAGGAATTTGCTGGACACTGAGAAGTCTCTCATACCAATATGAAATACAAGAAGATTGAACTAATCACAAGACCTGTTACTTTATGAAACAGCAGGAAATATCTCACTTTGTATTTTCAAAACAAGGATCTCTTCACTGCTTCTTCTATATGCTGCTTTGTTCACTGAAAGAAAATTGTTTTTGTCAAATGACTTCAGCAAAGTAGCTCAGCTTCAATCTACAGACGGGACAATGCAGAAAGTGTGCAATTTATTTTATATTACTTTTGAAGTCATGAATTGTGTTAGGTTATCATGCAAGAGTTTGTGAAGGGTGCTGCTACTTTAAGCTGTCAGTAGCTGGTGTTAAAGACAGTGTGATCATCAAAATGTTTTCCGCTTCCTCATAAATAAATAAACATCTTGAGCTACACTGCCATTAGCCCTGTTCTTGCATGTAACTTCATTAGCATACTTGATTGATAGTTTCTAAACATGTTCTTCAATATATTGCTGATATGTATTCTCAAGAGTGTAATATTTTCTATTTCTATTTCTATTCTATTTCTGTTGTGTGCTCTTTTCTGAACTAGTGGTTGCTGCATGTGCAGTTTTGTCAGGGCAAATCATTTTTGAATGGCTGCCCTTAAAACTTACTCTCTTAATTTTGTGTTCTCTAGTTTTTGGTGGTGCCTTATCTGCCCACTGTTAGTCTAATCTGGCTTAAAAATACAGCTTCCCAGTTCTCCTTGTGGACAAAAGGTCTGTTTACATACAGATTTGCACTCAAATTTTTTTACGATGCCATATAGTGAAATACAAATACAGGTGCTGTATTTCTCAGTTCTCCCAGTCAGTGGGAGTCACATTGACAGTGTGACCCAATCAGTGGGTAAGTCATGTTGACAATGTGACAAAACAAAATTTAAAATCTTCTAAATTTTTTTAATAATAAAGCTATTTTCCTTTATTAAGAAAATAGTATGAAAATTCAAAACAGCAATAAATGGATAACTAACATATCAAACAAAGGGAAGAGTCAGCAAAAAAAAAGGGTATAGGCGCCAGGAGGAGACAAGAATTATTACTTAAAAAAATAAGTTTAACACAGCAATGTTTAAGCCCTTTTTAAGGTTTAGGCCACTCCTTTCTTGGTGGAAAAAATCAGGTTTTCAAATTATGCAGAAACCTCATAATGATAGAATGAAACATTATGGAGTATAGGATGGAAAATAATTGACATGATGAATGTGAGGAACTGAATGAAATTTGAACAGTTTGGTTTGCAGAATGAAAAGATGAAAGAAATGTGCTAGAAAATATTCTTTGATAATCTGAATGACAGGAAATGAACAGATCTGTGATGTTCTAGTTCTGTTTGCAGTTGTCATTGTTATTGCTATTTTGTTTTAAAGCAGAGGCCAAGAAGCAGAATCAGACACCTCCTACAGCACAGAGCATCCCTGCCCAGCCTTTGTCTCGCCCCCTACCACCTTTGCAGCCAAACCCTCTGCAGCAAACAGGCGTGCCAACAAGTGGGCCTTCCCAGACCACTATACATGTATTACCTACAGGTAACATCATTTCTGTTATTTTGTCTGTTATTTTGTTATGGGTTTGGTTGTTTTTTTTTCTGTAGATAATTGTTGGGCATTAGAATCGTCTTAGAACTGATCAGTTCTGTGGACTCTTAATTGCTTGTATTCAGTTGTGATTTTTATCTTCTCCACAGCTATCAGACCTCAGAACTACTTTTATTTACACAGATCAGATATAGTAATCGTTGGGTTTTTTATGATCTTTTTTTCCTATATTTGGACTTATTAGCAATAGAGGATTAGGGTTTGTTTCTTTTTCTTCAGTCTGATTCTTTGGGATATTATTTTTATCTGTCCTGTTTGGAATTTGGATATATGCTGACATCGTTAATCTTTCAGGTGAAAATTACCATTACCATTTGTTTATGCTATTTTCCCCTTTCTTGCACTATCAGAAACAGATAGAATTTTGCGGCGATAGCTTTTATTTTGTATGTTCTGGGATTACATTCTAGGTTTTGGTTTGTCTCTCTTTTTCCAGCTCCGACAACAGTGAATGTAACTCATCGACCAGTGACTCAAACAGCTGCAAAACTTCCTATACCACGAACCCCAACTAACCATCAGGTGGTCTATACCACTATTCCCGCACCACCAGCTCAGAATTCTGTAAGAGGAGCTGTCATGCCAAGTCCAAGTTTAAGGCCAGTCAACCCACAGGCTGGAGGTAAGGGATTCTTTCTCCCAGGTACATTCTAGCACAGCAGAGCTTCATGCATTCTGCCTAATGGATGTGGATTGTTTTGTGTTGTTGTTTTGTTTTGTTTTACAATACTAGTCCAAATTAGAGGTTATTTTTTTGCTAACCTAAATAATTGAGAAAATTTCCAGCTATTAAGAAATATTTCACACTACAACTATGTAAATGAGGAAAAAATGGAATGAAGTTATTTCACACACTGCTTCTACTAACTCTGTATCTCTGGATGGCATTCCGAGTGCTTCACAAGATATCAGAAAGTAATGTCATGAGCACAGCTGTTCTGGAGGATGTTTTGTTATTAAGCTTGCAAGATTAAAATCTACATGTATGTGGTAAATCATGTTTGATTTCCCATCTGAAATTCCATCATGATCTCTTACGTCCTGTGCCCAGCAAGTTTTCGTATTTTAAGTCGAGACACCACACCCTTTCTGATACACTCCAAGATGCCATTGGCCCTCTCATGGTCATCCTGCTGTCCACCAGAACCCCTAGATTCCTTTCCCCTATGTTACTCTCCAGCAGGGTACTCCCCGACCTATACTGGTACCTGGGATTGTTCTTGCCCTGATGCAAGACTCCCTGCTTACCCTTGTTATATTTCATTAAATTTCTCCCTGACCAACTCTCCAGCCTGTCTGGGTCTCACTGTATGGCAGCACAGCCTTCTGGTGTGTCAGCCACTCTCCCAGTTTTGTGTTATCAGCAAACATTGCTGACAGTCCACTCTATTCCCTCATCCAAGTCATTGATGAATATATTGAATAGTACTGGTCCCAGTACCAAACCTTGAGGCACTCCACTAGATACAGGCCTCCAAATAGACTCTGTCCCATTGACCACAACTCTCTGGTTTCTTTCCTTTAGCCAGTTCACAGTCCACCTCGCTACCCGATTGTCCAGACCACGCTACACCAAGATAGACCACATCCACTGCTTTACCATCATATACCCACCTGGTTATAGAGTCGTAGAGTCATAGAAAACTTAGAGTTGGAAGGGACCTTTAAAGGTCATCTAGTTCAACTCCCCTGCAGTGAACATGGACACCCACAGTTAAATCAGGTTGCTCAGAGCTTGATCCAGCCTCACCTTGAAAGTCCCCAGGAACAGGTCATCAACCACATCTCTAGGCAACCAGTTCTAGTGCCTCATCACTCTCACTGTAAAAGCCTTTTTCCTTATGACCAACCTAAATCTACCCTCTTTAAGCTTGAAGCCCTTTTGTTATGTCTTCGTAAAAGGATATCAGGTTGGTTAAGTGTGATTTCCCTTGGTGAAGCCATGTTGATTGCCCCTAATGATCTTCTTACCCTTGATTTACATAGAGACAGCACCAAGGATAAGCTGTTCCATTATCTTTCCAGAAACAGACATGAGACTGACTGGTCTATAGTTACCTGGGTCCTCCTTCTTGCCCTTTTTGAAGTCCGGAGTGACATTTGCTTTCGACCAGTCCTCAGGCACCTCTGCTGTTCCCCACAGCTTACCATACATAATGGAGAGTGGCCTAGCAATGAACTTCACCAGCTCCCTCAGCACCCACGGGTCCATCTCATCAGGACCCATGGATTTATGGATGTCCAGATTGCTCTATTGGTCTTGAACCCAGTCCTCATCAACTGAGGCAAATTCCTCCTTTATCCTGACTTCCTCTGGGGGCACAGGGGTATAGGGTTCTTCAGGACAACCTCCAGCAGTATAGACAAAGAAGGCATTCAGTAACTCTGCCTTCCCTGTGTCTTCTATCACCAGGGCACCCACCGTTCATCAGTGGACCTACGCTGCATCTAGGGTTAGTTTTATCTGCAATGGAGATAAAAATCTGCTATTTGAAGAAGCCCTTTCTGCTGCCCTTGATCCTTCTTGCAAGGTTTAATTCTAAGGAGGCCTTAGCTTTCCTAGTTACCTCCCTATACAGTCTTATATTCCTCCTAAGTGGCCAGCCCTTCCTTCCACAATCTGCAGACTCTCCTCTTCCATTTGAGTTTGCCTAGCAGTTCCATGTTTAACTATGCAGGTCTCCTGGCTCCGTTTCTTGACTTCCTGTCCATTGGGATGCTCTGATCTTGAGATTGGAAGAAGCAGACCTTGAATGCTTATCAACTATCTTGGGCCCCTTTGCCTTCAAGTACCCTGTCCCATGGAATTTCTTGAAAATGCCACAGTTGGCCCTACTGAAGTCTAGAGTTGTGATTCTGCTTGGTATTCTGTTCCTGCCACGTGAGATCCTGAACTCTGCCATCTTATGATCGTTGCAGCCAAGGCTGCCCTCAACCTTCACCACTTCAACCAGACCTTCCTTGTTAGTGAGAACAATATCCAGCAGCACTCCTCTCCTAGTTGGTTCATCCACTGTTTGTATCAGGAAGTTATCATCAGTGTACACAGTGTTCTGGACTGTGGATGGCTGGCTGAATAGGCCTAGCAAATATTGGGCTAGCTAAAATCCCTCATGACAACCAGGGCCTGTAATTATGAGGCTGCTATCAGCTGCCTGTGGAAGGCCTTGTCAAGTTCCTTATCTTGATCAGGTGGCCCGTGATAGACACCTACAACAGCATTACCTATGTCAGCCTGCCCCTTAATTCTCACCCACAAACACACAATTCACTCCTCATCTCCCCCTGGACAGGACTCAGTACACTCTAGTTGCTCTCTAACGTAAACAGCAACTCCACCACCTCGCCTTGCTCACCTGTCTTTGCTGAGAAGGGCATAGCCATCCATGACAACATTTCAGTCATGTGATCTGTCCCACCATGTCTCTATAACCTTGATGTTGGACTTGATGATCTTGAAGATCTTTCCCAACCTTAGAATTCTGTGATTCTATGATTCCTACCCTCTGTCTGGAAGATCAGCAGTGGGTAGTAGTCTGTTGAGTGCACCAGGCAGGGGAGTGTCCTGGTGATATCCCTAATCTGGGCTCCAGGTAGACTGTAGACTTCCCTATTTTGAGAGTCAACACTGCATACTAGGCCCTCTGTTCCCTTCAGGAGTGAGTCACCAATAACTAGAATCCTTCTCTTTTTCCTTGTGAAGAGGTTATCACGTTGCTGGAAGGCATATCCAATTGAGATAAGACCTCTGGAGCAGCTTGCCTATCTTCCTCTTTGACAGCTAGTTCCTCCTGTAGGACCCCATACCTGTTCAGCAAGGTTTAACTGGAAAGGTGGGGGAGGTCAGGAGTGGATTCACTTGCTTCCTGGAGCAGGGACTTGTCTCCATTCCTCCCAGTCTCTGAGGTCCTTCCCCAACTGCTTGGTGACAAGAGGGGAGGGGATCCTCCAGATTACCTGGAGCCTCAACCTGTGCTCTCTCTCAGGGTCCACCAGTCAGTCTCTCTCTCACACTCTCTGATACTCCCCAACATCTCCACTTCATCCTTCAGCTCAACCTCTAGGCTGGGCAGATCATTCAACAGTTCACATCTGACACCAATGTTGTCTTTGCTCCCCTCCATTACAAGAACATGCTAGGCAACCAATAACAATGAGCAGAAAAGCACTGAGCTCATAAAACCTGTATGTCCTATCAGTAAATGGGCAAAATATTACTTAAGAGAGAGAAATGTAGTATAAAATTTGTAGCTGCTTGGTATTTTGCAAGAGTTCTGGATATTAGGGCCCTATATTCTGAAACTATAAAATTACCTAGTTTACTCCTGCCAGTTTGGTCAGTTTGCTATGGAATGCAATGAAATGGCAATTCCTGTGAGTAGATATTCATAGTGGTGTCCATTCTGTGAGGGAAGCTTCTTGGACAGTGATGTAATCTTTTCTGGTTTTCATACCATCCTAGCATATGCAGCCTCCTAGCATTTGAATGCTGAATGGTTGTCATTCTGCTGCTGCAGCATTTATGTTCTCCTTGAATCCCAAAGTGATTGGATTTATTTATTTATTTTTGTAAAGCTCAAGCTGCCTGAATCTCCCCCACTTCTCCTCCCCCATTTCTTTCATACTACAAATGACAAAAATATCATTCTGCCCCTTCTGCAGACATTAGCACGTGTTTTCTTTTATAGCTTAGAGGAATAGAAAGTGGTTTTGGCTTAGTACAGTAATTAGTCTGATGGCAGTTTGAGAAGGATGTGTCTGTTTGAAATTTGGTATCAGCCAGCTGAGTGAAGGAGTTTGGCTTCCAGTGTTCTGTTTTGCTGATTTAAAATATTCAGTACTCAGAAATATTCATTGTGCTTCTTATTACAGGCATGACAGTACGAATGCCTCAAACAACTGCATATGTTGTGAACAATGGACTCACTCTCGGATCTGGAGCACCTCAGCTTACAGTGCATCATCGACCACCACAAGTGCATGCAGTGAGTACTCTCATTTTGAAATTACTTAAGGCAATTTACAGACTTGTCTCTGCACCAGTATGTCTGAGATTGCTTCTCAGTGTGAACTGAAGAACAATGAAATATCTTGTAGGCACTTTCCAGCCACTTCACATGTATAACACCATCATATCACCTTCAGAAAGTTGTACCAGGAACAGTGAAAGCTGTGCTATCTTGTTAGCTTACACAGGAGTTCTTCAAATGAGCAGTGTTGCATATTGAAAAATGATGTGAATTATCTGCAGGTGAATTGTGGAGTCAAGGGTACAAAAGAACTGCCACAAGAAGTTTTATTATGATTTGAAACTATAATTCATGGGATTGCCTATGAATTGGATGATAACACTTCTCTGTTGTGTGGGTGAGAGAGCACTGGAACAGGCTGCCCAGTGGGGTTGTGGAGTCTCCTTTGTGGAGATCTTCAGAAGCTACCTTTACCTGGTCCTGAGCAAACTGCCTGTAGGTGGCCCGTGCTTCAGTAGGGGTTGGACCAGATGACCTTCAGACCATCCAACCTCAATCATCTGGTCATTTTGTGATCAGGCCTTTTACGTGGTACCCCACATCATTTTCTCCAAATTGGAAGGATATGGATTTGGTGGGCAGATTGATCAATGGATAAAGAACTGGCTGCAGGATTGAGTCTAGAGGGTGGTGGCCAGTGGCTCAGTGTGTGGATGGAGATCAGTGACAAGTTGTGTCCCACAGGAGTCAGTGCTGGGACCGATACTCTTTAATATCTTAATCAATGACATTGCCAGTGGGATTGCTTGCACCCTCATCAAGTATGCTGATGACACCAAGCTGTGGGTTGCGGTCAACACACCTGAGGGACAGGATGCCATCCAGAGGGACCTGGACAGGCTAGAGAGGTGGACCCAGGAGCACCTTTTGAGGTTCAACAAATCCAAATGCAAGATCTGCATTTGGATCTTGCACCTGGGTCAAGGCAGTCCTCACTACCAATACAAGCTCCGGAAAGAAAGGATTGAGCACAGACCTGTTGAAAAAGACCTGCGAGTACTGGTGGATGGGAAGCTGGACATGAGCCAGCAGTGTGCCTTTGCAGCCCAGAAAGTCAACCATATCCTGGGCTACATCAAAAGATGCGTGGCCAGCAAGGTGAGGGAGGTGATCCTGCCCCACTGCAGTGGTGAGGCATTACTTGGAATACTGCATCTAGATGTGGTGTCCTCAGTACAGGAGAGACATGGACCTTTTGGAGTGCATCCAGAGGAGGGTCACAGAAATTATCCAAGGAATTTAACACCTTTCCTATGAGGACAGGCTGAAAGAGCTAGGGCTATTCAGCGTGGAGAAGGATCTGAGGTGACCGAGTAGCAGCCTTTCACCATCTAAAAAGGAGCTACAGGAAAGAAGGGAGCAGACTTTTTAGCAGGGCCTTTGGTGATAGAACAAGGGGAAATAGCTTGAAGTCTGGGGAGGGTAGATTTAGGTTGGACATAAGGAAAAAGGCTTTTACAGTGAGAGTGATGAGGCACTAGAACTGGTTGCCTAGAGATGTGGTTGATGCCCTGTCCCTGGAGACTTTCAAGGTGAGTCTGGATCAAGCCCTGAGCAACTTGTTTTAGCTGTGTCCATGTTCACTGCAGGGGAGTTGAACTAGATGACCTTTAAAGGTCCCTTCCAACTCTAATGATTCAGTGATTCTATGATCAGTTTTTCAGTACAGATGCTTGCAAAAGTTAGGTGGAAGAACACAGTACAGACAACATCCTTAATTGCCAAGTCCTGAATTTTTGAGGTTTGGGTTCTTTGGTGTTTTTTTGTTTTAATCACTGCTTGGGTTGATTCTTTCTGTCTCACCTCAAACCCTTTTTAGTAAGACAAAACTTACTTTTGACTAATTTTATATCATTCTGTTGTTGAGACTGAAGTATGTTGCCTGCATACTCAATTGTTACACAGTCACCTCATTTCCAGTCTCCTGATTTGGTAAATATGTTACCAAAGTGGCTAACAATTTTTTGAATCTAGACATTATTTAACTTTCACTGGTACATAGTGAGAAGAAAGCAAGCCAATATCATGCACCAAAACTTAACAAAAACTAGATGATTCCACCATGAAGAAATCCCTGGCATTGCAGTAACAAAATGTCGTGCTCACTGTAACCATATTCCTAAATTGAAATTAACTAACATAAATTATAGACTTAGAAAAGTTTCTGTGATCGAAATATTTCAGTGTAAAGTCACATTTTGCCCTTATTTCAAAACTTTCTGGAAACTGAGGCTGAGGTTTTGTGTTCAGTTTAAGGTGGATAAATATGCGTGTTGTTCCATTACCAGTTCTTCCTCTTGTGACTGAAAGAGCTGCCTATTGAAAAGATGATGTTGAGTTGCCAGCTCAGTCCACTGTTTAGGATGTTTTTGGGTAACGTAGAGAAGCAGCTCAGATACAGATTAGCTCAAACTCATTGTGAACCTGCCTACTCAGTCTTGGTAAATGGCCAGATGCTCACAGACCATCATCTCATGGGTAGGAGGCAAGCAGGATATAGAGAAGTAGCTGTGGTGACAGCTTTCTTACAGTGGTGTCTTCTGTGTGAATAATAACTTCTGACATCCTTGGTTTGATCCCTTCTCACCCTTTGCTTCTGTTTATGCCTGGTGCTCTCTGCACACAGGACTTCGAGTTGTGATGTTGAGTGTTTGCAGGCTGATTTCTTTCCATTTGCCTTGGGAATGATGAATTAAAACCTCTTTCCACTGCTGCAGACTTATCTTTCCCTGATTGCTCTTATATTGCATAGGAGCCACCACGCCCTGTACATCCTGCCCCGCTCCCAGAGGCACCACAGCCACCACGCCTGCCCCCTGAAGCTGCCAACACTTCTCTGCCTCAAAAACCACAGCTGAAGCTGGCACGGGTACAGAGCCAGAACGGTATTGTGCTGTCTTGGAGTGTCGTAGAAGTGGACCGGAGTTGTGCCAGTGTGGACAGTTACCATCTCTACGCATACCACGAGGACCCGAGTGCTACTATGCCTTCCCAGTGGAAGAAGATAGGGGAGGTGAAGGCCCTTCCACTACCTATGGCATGCACTCTTACTCAGTTTGTGTCTGGCAGCAAATACTACTTCGCAGTCCGAGCTAAGGACATTTATGGCCGCTTCGGACCATTCTGTGACCCCCAGTCTACAGATGTGATCTCCTCCCAGAGCAGTTAAACTGGAGTTCTTTGGAGCCTTTAAACGCATCCTACTTCAAAGGGTTACCCTGGTTTTGAGCGGGTTGATCCCATGCATGAAGTTCACTTTTAAATCCACTCTCTGCAGGATTAATTTAGACAGCTGTGCGATACACTACATACATTCAGAACCAAAAGAAAAATAAAGTCTCACTTCCAGCAAGAGAACCTGTTTTTCTGGATAGGTCAAGTCATGGGCCATTCAAAAATTTCATTTTCCTTCTCATGGCAGCTGTTCCACCTAGACATCTACCTACTCTTTATTCAAGGGCACGTTGGATGCCTGGGATTCTGCTTCAGAGTGGGAGCAAAAATAAAAATTGCAGTTTTTTTCTGAAGCTGAACTACATCTGTAGTGCCTATTAGGGCACTAACATGAAGGGAAGAACAGATTTGCCTCTTGTACCTAGCTCTCTCTGAGCAGGCTGTGATACGAAAGGTGAATCAAGGTCTTGTGTGCTGGAAGATTGAGTGATCTGTTCTTAAATTACCAACAGTAATCAGCTGTCTGAGGAGAGGGAAGGGAACTTTAGTCTGGCCAAGGAACCAATGCCTGTGAATTTGGAGGTGGTGTAGTGGGGAAAAGAAATAAATCACCCCACTACTTCCTACCTCTCCTAAATAAGAGCTCTCCTCTACTGTCACCGTCCACCTCCATTCACACTTGGAGCATTCCTAGGACAGATCTGAAACTGGATTATAGAAATCACATTCACCCCTCTCTAGCTCAAATAATTTTTCTGCCTTTCCCCTTATACATCCAGCCCTGATTTTTAGATTTATTTTGTGCCTTAAACAGTAATTTCAGAAATAAATGTAGCCAGATACCTTGTGGTGTTCATTTGCTTGGAGTTACTTCTCCTTTTCCCCCCCTAGCCTTTCATTACTGCTTCTCATTTTCCTGGCCCACAGTGATTTTTTTTCTACAAAGACCAGGAAGTGACATCTACTGATGCTGGACTCATTTTTATCTGTACTTTCAATTAACCCTTCCCTCACTGCAATTAATGAGTCGTCGTTTCTGTTCTGTGAAGAATATTAGAGTGTACAGACGGTATTTTCCACCAGAGCCTTTCCCTCCTGTTCTTTTGGGAAAGCTGTATGCTGCATTTCAGCCAAAGAAACCTATGTGGTGTAGCACCATGAAAGCTTCTACTTGTTTACACTCAGTTTAAATGTTCAGGTGGTAGAAAAATGCACAAAGTTGGCTTCTTAGACCTCTATCCCAGTCACCTGCCTGCCTCTACAGAAAACTAACATGCCCAGAGTAGTTTACACACTGGCCCAAAATTTGTGAGCAGCTGCAAATGTTCCTAGAAGCTTTCATGATGCTTCTGAGCTGGGAAATCAAAACAGTGCATCTGCCCCACTATCCTGTTGACATGTTCTTAAACTTTTTTTATGCATAGCCAATTTCTAACACCTGAACAAGAAAGGATATGTAAGATTTTTATTTTGGCATTTTTAAAAACAAGGACAGTGTTTTGTTTCTGTCCAGCAGAACCAAATACTGGATTTAGAAGGGAAAATGTTTGGGCTTCTTTTAGATTTAGTTCTCCATCTGACAAAGCTGTAGACTTTACATATTTCTTAATTCCAATACTGGCTGTCTTGAAAAATTGAAATACTAAGCAAGGTTGAAAAAGTCGCAGAATATGGCTAGTGAAATAATCTATGTGATAATAGATTCTTACGTTGCGTTCCCTTCAAGAAAATTATGTGAAAGAAACTCAGTTGTAGACTTTTGTCCATACTACTTTACTGCACTCCTTCATGCAGCTGGGATTGTTGCTTCCGTCAGGTGAGTAACAAATACTGTCAGTATGGGAGTTGTATTGATTTGGGTAAGCAGAAATTCTATCTAAATCCGTGTATCATGAGAGAAGGCTTGCACTGAATCTCATGTATGAAAAGTGTTTAACTTTTCCTTTGAATAACAGTTGTCCCCATATTGCTGGTGCCAATGATCAGTAATGCCTTGATTTTTTCTATGTGGAATTAAATGTTTTCTCTGCCTATTTCAAGGAATAATTAGTAGTTCATTTACACTACTTATAAAAAGTTGAGTTATTATAAAGGAAGTTGTGTAGTAGAGGTTTAGAGCAATTTCTTCCAGTTGGTGGCTGTTGAAGCATCAGTTTACTTTAATGTCTTTGAGTTGGTACTAAAGGGCTGTTGGCCATATCAGTACAGTGGGGTTTTTATAATTTGAAAGTTAAAATAAATGTTAGAATCCAATCTGGAATTTATGCTGCTTACTGAATTTTGATTCCAGCCTCAGCTATACATGAGCTCTTCTATAGTTTGTGCTTGCTCTTAGATCGCAGTTGTTACTAGCTTTGTCTTGCTTGGGATAGGCGGGTGGTGAGAATCCTGTGTCACAATTTGTTTTCCTTTCTCCGGTGGATGTAATAGTTGGGATGGCCTGATACTGTGTGGAGGTTTTGTGGTCTGCATCTTTAGAGAAAAGACTCATCTTTATTTACTAAAGAAAGATGTTCTCAACAGAGTTGACACTGGCTTCTTGCTTAATAGTATCTTCTGTTACGTATGGCAGAGCGCAGCTCATTTTTTTGAATAGATAAGCAAGTTAGCTACTGTTTGCTAAGTGAGGCCAATGCAGTTGTAGAGTGAAAGCAGACATCTCTTTCATTGCAGCAGAGATGTTAAGATCCAATTTCAGGATCTTAAGCAAGTGCTGGTGGCTAAGTACATGATAAAGCATAGCTTGATTTTTCAGATGCCTTGCTCAGCTTGGAGACGTTGCAGGTAGCGGTTCTTAACACTGATGTGCAGAGAACTATGCCACTTCTGTAAAACTGTTTCACTGTGGAACAGATATCTGCAGTGAGTACTTAGCCCTTATGCTAATGAATGGGAGTACTGCTTAACTCAAATGGCACTTTTCCCAATGTCTTTGAGTGGCTGTTTTTTATTTATCGTGTAATCTCCCAGAAACAATAAAAATACTGAGAAATTGAATTTCCTCCACTAACACATTCAGAAATAACTGGTTTCATTTAGTAAAATTTATTTGGAAGTATTACCAAAATATCTGGGAACGGTCAGTACAGGTCTGTTAATACTGTGCTTTAGACTGGAGTCATCATAGAAGTGTTGGTTACTGAGGATTCTAGTATTTCATTTTTAAATATGCTACAAGTCTCTACACAGCTTTCAATTGGTAGACTAGACTAGAACAGTTCAGTTGGAAGGGATCTGCAGAGATCATGAAGTCCAAATGGCTGACCACTTCAGGGCCACAACCGAGTTAAAGCATGTTATTAGGGACATTATCTACATGCCTCCCTGTACCTAAAGCAAGTTTTTCCATATGTATTTTCAGTACCCTAGTATAAATTGTACCTGGCTAATGAGTTGTGCTGGTACCACTGGGTGCATGACATATTAGCTGCACCACCTCAGATCTAGTTCTTCATGTTTTGGCGAACACTGCACTGATTCTACTACAGTTTTTATTTTCATCATGTTTCTGGTTTGGTTTAGGTTTGATTTGTGCCCACGGGCAAGAAGTAACTTAAGTTAGTTCTGTTTCTGGTTGGAAGGAAGCCCTCCTGTGGAGTGCTGATAGCAAAATGCCATTCTTTTCCACTGAGTTCCTCCTAGTTACAGCTTCACTGACCTCCTTTATTTCAGTACGAGTCTTAAAAAGCTTTACTGGATTCAAATAGCTGAACCCTTGGAAGGGTGTAGACTGTAGATGTAGCATGTGTACTGCAGCTGCAGTAACAACTCAAGAAGATGTAAGGGTGCGGAAGCAGGTTCCTTTCAGCCTATGTTTACTTCTGTGCTCCAGCCCAGCTTCCCTGAGAGTGACAGTTCTCAGCTCTGCTTCTTTCAGTGTGCTTGCTACCCTTTAACATGTTAGATCACTGAGCACTAGCAGTGATGCACTCACACACCCAACATTTTTAGCACAAGGCTGGAAACGCCCATGGTGTCTTCCCTGTAAAAATAAGGGTCTTATCCTGCTTCCTTTGAAAATAATGGCAAAACCCCCTCGTGCCTTCAGTGGGAGCTTGATTGGGGCCCAGTAGTAGGATCTGAGCACTGATTTTACACTATAACAAAATATCCATACACTTCTTTCTTTATGCTGTTTGTCTTAAGACTCCACTAAATCAGAATCTGTATTATATGTAGGGACCAGGTCAGATGTGTTCTTGCTCCCCAAACAGCCATTCCCCGGTTCTAGACTATCGTATACACTGTACAAAATCAAGCTGTGATTCTGCCTTCTTATAAACTTCAGTATTTTCATTTGGTCAAAAATATCTATCCAGATTTTTTAAAAGAGAAGCTTGATATATTAAATATATATTTTTTTAATTTGTTAGTTGGGGCAGGGGCGGGCATTGTATGAAAACACTGGAGAGTGGAGTTCAAATGACAATGACTGTGCCGCCCTGCCACCACATCTGTGTTCCCTTCTGAATAATTTCTAAGGGGCTAAGAAATTGCTAAGAAAAAGCAAATGAATTGATCTTTTCCTCCTTTCTGCCCACCTGTTAGAATGCATCTTTATTTCTCATTGTCATTGCACAGGCTAAGCATTCCTTTTTGTTTTGTTTTGTTCTAATATATATTATATGCACACACACATATATTTATATATATTTGAAGTGCTGTCTTAATTTAATGGAGTATATCTGTAAATAAGACAACTGGGTAGTAACTGTTTGGGGAGTCCTGTTCAGCTGTAGTAAGTTCTTTGCTATTGAGTCAAACATGCAAAATCCTTTGCAAGTAGCTCCATCCGACTTCTTGTTTTGCTTTGCAGCTGGACTTGTAAATACAAAAGGACTGCTTTTATGTCCAATTTAAACTGGGCAGTTGCAAATTCTCCCCATTTTTGTATGTACTGTAGTTTAGTGTGTGTGTACGTGTTAACTGTAGTGGGGTTTTGTCTGACAAGCCTGAAATTTATACTTTGAAATAAACTACTGGGTTTTTAACGTTTTGAGTCATCTGTGCTTAGTTCCAGACATCTCAGGTGACAAAGCACCACGTGTGTGTGCTCATGCTCTCCAGCCATGCTGCCTCATGGAGGATGGGGCAGCGCCAGCTTTTCAGTTCTGCAGTCACAGTGCCACTTTGGTCAAGTAATGTCCACAGCAGTGATGTGGCTCCAGGTCATTCCTAGAAAGCCAGCTGCGTGATGCTGCTCCTCCAGGCTTCCCACCAGAGCAGAAATTAAACCAATATGCTAAGTTCTAGAAAGTTGCAAAGAGGGGCTACCAGACATTCCTAAGAGTTGCACATACTTACCCTGACTGAGTGCCGAGCCCACACTTGAAGGGCAGCATCATTAACCTACGGTGGTAATAGTTCCCTGGCACTTAGTAAAACTGGCGTCAAGTCACTGACTGAAAGACTCTGTATGGACTCATGTTAAGTGATGGCTGAATACAATCACACTTGAAAGTCCAGACTTTCTGCCTGTTTAGAACTGACTGTTTAGAATACTTGTCTACTTTCTGCCTCTAGTTTGGACCATTACTTTCATTAAAACATTAGCTTAAGCACTTTGCTCAAGCAGTGTTACCTGCAGCTTGTGCAGGTGCTGTGCTAGGGATAGGAGCTGTGTCCCAGTCGCTGTGGCTGCATTCAGCCTGAGCCGGGCTGTTGATGGAGGAAGGACAGGGTGCAGTACAGCAAGCATGTGGTGATCTTGAACCCAGCACACCCATTAACAGCAAAAGAGTCACATGGGTTAGTTTTACAGCTCACAAGGTCCCATTTATGTAAATACTTAATCAGAGAAAAGGGCTCTTCAAAGTAGAACTCTTTTCCCACTGAGTTGAAA